ATTTCTATGGGGTGGGGGCTTTAATCATTCCCACTTCTCTATGCTACCTCAATCCTCCTTATCATTCTGCCCTTGTTAGACTTCATCTGTCATATTACATTGAATTTGGAATTTTGTTTCTGAACAATTTCATGGATCTGAGGTAGAATCTTAGAATTGCTTTAGTGTTCATTTTGCTTATTTTAAGTGATGGAAAGAGTGGAGGGGTGGGGGATGTCGATACCAAGTTTCAAACTATACTAAAAAGGAGTCATCCTTAAAATGATTTGACATCAATTATAAAATATCTATGTTTAACTATGATTACTACAGCCAGCTGGCACAGTGGACAGAATGCTGGATCTGGAATCAGAAAGAATTATCTTTCTGAGTTCAAATCTGGCTTCAAACACTTGCTAGCTATGCAACCCTTGGTAAGTCACTTAATCATGTTTGCCTCAATTTATTCATCTGTAAAATGAGCTAGAAAAGGAAATAGCAAACTACTCTAGTATCTTTGACAAGAATGAATAACAAAGAGGCAGACAAGATTAAACAGTTGACAAAACAATGACAGCTTTAGAAGGGATTAATAAGCTGCAGAGTGTCCAGTAGAAGATAGTCCCAATGGTCAAGATTCTTTATTCCATGCTATATGATTAATAGTTGAAAGAAGCTGTCTTTACTGTAGAAGAGAAGCCTTTAGGGAGAATATGCCACCTGAAAGAACAATTAAAGTGGTTCTGTTGGAACCCAGGAGCAAAGGATATAAGGTACAAAAAGGGAGATTGAGACTGGATGTCAAGAAAAATTCCATAAAAATGAGAATTACCTATAAGTGTGATGGTTTGCCTTGAAGGAAGGTGACATGATTTCTTCCCCCACGCCCCTCAGCCCTTGAGGTGTTCAAACAAATAATGGGATATTATGGTTGAAATTACTCTTTCAATATAATTTGGATTGAATGAGTATTGAAGCCTCCCCTCTTACCTTAAAATTCTGGGAGTCTCTTGTATTCCCTTAGTCAAATGCTTTTCTTCTTGAGAACTACAGGTTTTTCTTTTCTTCTTTTTTTTTTGTGTATTTGTGGCTTACACAGCATAAGTGATTAATAAATGCTTATTGTTTTCATTTGTCTATTCACTGCTCAGCCTTTGGCAATTTCTCACCTGTTTTCACCCATGCATTACAACTGTTTTATCCAATTTTTCTAATTAAATCCTGATTACTCAATCCAATGGACCTTGCTCCCTCAGCTGCTGTGATGACATCTCCTGAGACATTCTACACTGTCAGCAACCTTCACCTGCTTTACACTTTCTCCTATCCCTTCTTTTTGTACAACTTCACTCTGTCATTGTTGTATATTCTTCATAGCCATTCATCTGATTCTGATATTGCCCATTTCCCCACCCCATCATAAAGCTTTTGAAAACTGCACTTTGTGTGTAATCCTGGGAGAAAAAAGTTCATCTTTCCAGGCCTGCTTCCTCAGCTTTAAAATAAGGAGATTAAACCCAGATGGATTTGAAGGCCCCTTCTGGCTCTATCTATGATCCTAGGATCCTGTTGCTCTCTTGAAATTAGCATAACCTGAATTTCTAAACTCTTGGCACTCTCTCTGTCCCTCTTTCATTGTCTTTATTTATTTCTGTCTCTAAATCTCTCTAATAACTAGAATTTATTCAGTGCTTTAAGATTTCCAAAGTTCTTTAAATGTTATCTTATTTCATTTTCTCCTCATAAACCTCTGAAATAGCTACTACTACTAGTATTCCCCTTTTACAGATGAGGAAAGGGAGGTGGGGTACCAGGAGGTAGAGTGTATTCCCCAGTGTCAGTTAACCAAAATTCAAAAATAGTTTTTGTTCTAAAGGAGCTCAAAGTTTAATGGTGAAGATAATATTCAATCAACTATATATGAACCAGATACAGACATGACAAATTGGAGATAATTAACAGAAGGAAGTCACTAGCATTAAAAAGAGTACATTAGGAAAGAATTATTGTAGAAAGTCGAATTTTACCTGAGACTTGTAGGAAATCAATGAATCTATGAGATGGAGAGGAAGAGAAAGAGAATTTCAGGCATGGTTGACAGTCAGAGAAAATACCTGAGAGATGGAGTGTCCTTTCAAGGAGCAGCAAGGAGACCAGTGTTGTTTAATTGAGGAACATTTGGGAGGGAGTAAGGTTTAAGAAGAATGGAATGGTAAGAAGGGGACAGGTTATGAAGAGCTTCAAAAAAAAATAGTGGATTTTGTATTTGCTAATGGAATTAACAGGGATGCAGAGGAGTTTATTGACTTAGTGACATGATCAGACCAGAGCTTAAGAAAGATGAATTTTACTGACGAGTGGTGAGTGGAGTGGAGTGGAGAGAGATTTAATGTAGGGAGACCAGCCAGAAGGCTGTTGTAATCATCCAGATGGCAGGTAATGATGGGCTTCAACATGGTGCTGACAGTGTCAGGAGAGAAAATGGAGCCAAATAAAAGAGTTCTCATGAGGATCAAATCAATATAATTCAGCAGCATATTTCAATGTGGAGGGGGGTGAGAGTAAAGAATTGAGGATGACACCTAGGTTATGAGTCTGGGTGAATTTGAGGAATGTTTTTTTTTTTTCCATGACAATAATGAGGAATTTAGGAAGAGGAAGGGTTAGGGCAAATGATAATGAGTTCAGCTTTAGATACCTTGAACTGAAGATGTCTTCAACACATACAGACAAAGTCATATAGTTAGAGTCTAAGGCAATCTTCAAATTTCATCTTTCCTAATTCTAAGCAAGCAATTTAGCCACAATGCTACCCACTTGCCTCTCTGCACACCTCTCTGTCTTTCATTTATCTCCCTTTTTCTCTCTTTTTGTCCCTGTCTTTCTGTGTGTGCCTGTCTGTCTATCATCTATTTCACTCTCATTTTCACTCTTTTCTTGCCATATTATAGTATGTGTGGTGTGTGTGTGTGTGTGTGTGTGTGTGTATCTATAATCTCATATACTTCCATGGTTTTAAATATCAAGGTGACATATGTGACTTTGAAATATACAACTCTAGCCCCAATCCACCTCCTTAAGTTACAGATCAGAATTTAAAATTTCCACAATATCACTATCTTCTGATTTTTCCTTAATGCATTCACTGGTTCCTTCAACTCATCATCTGACACCCCCACCCACACTCCCAGAACATTCTCCTCTTGTTCCTTATTTTCCTATTTCTGATAATGGTGCCAAAGTTCTTCCAATAATTGTACTTTTCAGTGTCATTCTGGAGTTTACTGATGCCTTCTCCCCACCCCATCATGCTGAAGAGGCAGCCTGACATAATGGACAGAATGCTGGTTTGGGAGTAATTTAGAGCTGGGTTCAAATCTTGACTCTTAACCTTAAAGGTTTTCTGACAGAGATAGATCTCTGAACTTCTCTAAGCCTTAGCTTAGTTTCCCCATGGGAAACTCCTAATGGTAATACTTATAGTACACACCCTATAGAATTGCTGTGAACCTCAGTTTAGCAGTATTTTTAAGGTTGTTTATCAATCAGTTATTATTTTCTTTCTTTAATAACTTATTTAAAATGTCTTTCATTTCCTTTTCTTCTGCCATCATCCTAGTTCATACTCTCCTGACCACTTCACTTGAATATAGAATAGTCACATAACAGATCCCCCTACTTTCAAATCAGCTCCTTTTGCAAACCATCCTATATGATATGGTAGATAAATCTTCATAGAATCACAGAATTGCAAAACTGTACAAGGAAATTATTCCAACCCATATATGAAAATAGAAACCCCTCTATAATATTTCCAGTAATTATTTATCAAGTATTTCTTTAAAGAATCTCCCAGATGGGGGACCCTGAGACCTGCAAAGAAAGCCCATTCTATTCTCACATTGATCTAAATGTCAGTGGACTTTTATTTTCCTCAAGCCAAAATGCAATCTCTCTTAGTCAACCTACTATCTATTGCCTTTAGTTCTGGCCTGTGAGGTTAAGAAAATATAGGTACTAGATCTATGATTTTATTGGTATAAGGCATGTTCTGTTGAGGAAACTCCCTTCACAAATATAGGTTGACTACAGAAGAGGAAAGGCTTCTAGAACATTTGAGGTTAAATGATTTAACTAGGATCACAAAGTGAGACTTGAATCCAGGTCTTTTTGACTTTGATTTCAATGTTTCTCTACTATACCATGCTTGGTTAAGACAAAGAAATCTGATCCTAAAAACAGAGCTCTGATTTTGTGACTCACTTTCTGAAAAACCTCCTGTTGTTTCCTACTACCTGCTTATAGCCATCAAACACACTGCAGCGAATAAGAAAATGTAAATTAGCTTTATGCTTTTCATTCTCTTGTGAGAGCTGTGTATTACAAAGCACTGACAAAAACAAATAGTAAATCTGCAAGGGTAAGGAGACCAGGTTTTATCCCAATATTGAAATAAATTGTATCCCAAGTACTTTAACCTATATTGTGTTGCATTAGTCAGTGAATGCAGAGTTTTCAAGTTAATCAGCCAGGATGGATGGGAAGAGACTTATTGACAGTATAAGGCTGTACGGTGAATCACATTTACTTTTAAGAGACACATTTGCAAGTGGTCTTTCACTAGTGATTGGTGTGGACCATCCTTCAACTCCATTATAAGGATATTAACAAATGCATGTGACTTCAGGGAGCAATAGGAGAAATGCCAGATGCGGCGTAGGTTTCTATTTGTCTTTTGCTGCCCCTGTCCAGAATGAACAAGTGATGCTCCAGTGGAGACCTTCTAGGAGAAATAAACAAACCACTGGTGACATGATCTGGCCAGAGATGGTTTTCCAAGTTCAAACAACAACACAAATCTCCATTTCATATTTGGGCAATTGTGTTCTGAACTGATTATTTTAAACTCAGCACGAAGGGAACTAAGCCAATCTAAACTGTTATCTTCTCAAAACACACAGTTCCAGGTGCACATATTGCAGATTCTGACCTTCTCTGTCTCTTTTTCTTTTGCCCTTCAGGTCCCACACCATATGAAGACGCTGCCCTATTACAGCTATGATCAGCCGGTCATCGGGTACTGCCAGGCTCATAAGCCTCTCCATATCAACAAGGGATATGACACCATGTCCCGGGAGCAAGCTGAGACAACCAACCTGGAGCTCAGTCGAGACCACAGCTTCATTGCCACCATTGCCCGCTCAGCGGCACCAGCCATTTATATTGAAAGAATACCCAATTAATGCTGAAGACCGTTTCTCATGGGAGAGGGGACTTTGTTGGGGGGAGGGAGAGGGAGGGCTTTCACCTTAAAGGAGAACTGGGTGTGAGATCACAGCCACCCATACTGTTCCTGCCACAAACATTATTCCGGGAAGAGAGATGGAGACCATGCCACCTTCAAGACAAAGAATTACTGTAGTATGGCAGGAATTATCTTTATGGTTCAGCCGGGAAAACTCCTGGAATTTTTTTTCTTTTGCTTTAAAACTTCAAAAGACAAGGCTCTCAGATGTAAATAATAAATAAAGATCATCAAGTTCTTATTAAAATAGATTTCACTCTAGCTACATAAAAGAATGGATTAAGAGATCTGTTTGTATATCTGATTTTCTACACTGCACGGTTCCTTGGCCAGTGAACCACAGGCAAAATTAAGGGTGGGAGGGTGGGATGAGGGGAAACTCAGTACATGGTTTATTTGTTAAGTGTTTATTACTCTAAAAACCTTGTTTCAATTGATTTTTTCTTAAAATATTTGTTTTGCTTTGTTTTTCTTTTCTTTCTTTTTTTTGGCAAATGTTTCTGTTTCCAACTCTGATAATGGGCATTAAGGCTTGTGCTGGACCTAAAGGATGCTTGCATTGGCACAGGACTCAAAGGAATATAGATGATCACTGAAAAGGGGGATAAAAACACAAATGAAAACAAAAACTCTAGGTGTATGTCCACTCAAGACATCTACTGTAAACTAGGACAATTTTTTGAGCATTTTTTTTTCTTTTCTCTTTGTTATGCTTTACTGTCAACACAGCACCCATTTTCCAGTTCTATCATGAGAAAGAACACCAGGTACCTTGATACAGACAAAAACTGGCAAATCTGTTCCTTCCTGGTTTGGACGGATTGATGTGAAATTTTCATGTGTGCCCTGATAGGAATCTCAAAGGCTGACCCACTCCTAAACGAAGGAGAATGTGTAACATGAATTCTGTTTTGTTTATTTTTAATTGATTATCAGTTAGCTTTTGTGTAGTTTTTATCAATAAAAGGAAAAAAAAAGTGGTGGAAAAATAAACATATTATTTTGTGGTTGGGACACCACAGCCAACCTAAGGTTTGAGTGTTTTCTCACAACATTGTAGACTTTTGTTTCTTAGGTCTTCTCAGTGAAGTGATTTAATTCAATGCATTATATACTTTCAGTAACACCTGTTTATGCTAGAGGAGATAACACATAAGTATAAGATATGACCATAGGATCATAGATTTACATATAAAAATTACTTTAGTGATCATCAGTAGCAAAACGCCTTAATTTATATATGCGGAAACTGAGAACAAGGATGTTCTATCTTAGTGTTGTTATACAGTCTTGCTGGACGCTCTCTGACATCATTTGGTGTTTTCTTGGCAAAGATACTGAAGTGATTTGCCATTTCTTTCTCCAAGTTATTTTATACATGAGGAAATTGAGGCAAACAGGGTTGAGTGACTTGCTCAGGGCCACACAGCTAGTAAGTATCTAAGTACAGATTTGAACTCAGGAAGATGAGTCTTCCTCACTCCATATCAGCATTTTTCCACTGTGCCACCTAGCTGCCATATATATACATATGTATAAGTATATATGTCTATGTATGCATGTGCATACACACACACACACACACACACACATATATATATATATATATATATATATATATATATATAAAATTATGGAGCTAGAGTTCAAAGGAATGTTAAGAGTCATCTACCCACATTCTTGTTTTCAAGCGAGGAAATTGAGGACTAGAGAGATTGTCACTTATTCAAAAATAACTAGCTTTTAAATATCAGAGTCTATGTTTCAATTTAGATCATTTATTTTAATTTCAGCACTCTGATCATTAAGTTATTTAGTAGAAAAGACAAGGTTTGAACATTAGTCATGGAAAATAATATAGATTTAGAATTTGAATGTATCTCAAAGGTTATTTAATCAAACTGCCCTCATTTTACAGAGCAGGAAACTGAGACCCTGGGTGAATTCCTCATTTTCTCATCTGGTTGTTTTGCATTAGAGAAGGGATTTGAGCTCAGAACCTCTGACTTCTGACCTATAATGCTTTCCTCTGGAAGTCCTAGGAAGACTTTTGTTCTGGAGATATAACTCATTCAACTATACTATGCTGCCTCTTCATGTAGTTTCAATCTAGTGGGGGTACAAAAAGATACTATGATGCATATGACTACAGGAGTAAACATAAGATGGGCCCTAAAAGATTATGTAATACAACCACTTTATTTTGCCTCAACCATCTCATTGTACAAATCAGGAAACTGAAGACGAGGTTGTAGTAGAAGTAATAGTAGTAGTAGTGGTAGTAGTAGTATAGTACCTGGCACATATTAAGCAGTTAATAAATATTGATTAATTGATTAGTAGGAGTAGCATTAACATTATCATTTATTATTAACCTTATTAACATTATACATCATGCTAAGCACTTTATAAATATCTTATTTCTTCCTCACAACCCTGGGATAGAGGAGCTATTATTATCCACACTCAATTAAAGAAGTGAAGCAAAAACAGGTTAACAGAGTTAACCAAAGTCACACCTCTAGTAAATGTGTTAGTCTGGATTAAAATTCAGGTCTTCCTCACTCCAGACCCAGCATTATTTCCACTCACTGTACCATCTACTTGCCTCAATTATTCAATACTTTGTCCAAGTTCTCATTGGCAGTACCTCTAATTAGTAGATGCTTTGACAAAGTAACAATGGGAATGAAATTAACAAGATGAAATTTAATAGTGACAAATTTACAGTCAATATTTTAACCTAGAGAAGAGAACACTTAGGGAAAAGGTTAGAGCTATTTGAATATGGAAAGACTGTCATATGCAAAAGGGAAAAGGCTTTTTTCCCCCTCTTTGTTCTTAGTGGGAAGTATAAGCAGCAAATGGCTAGCTGTTGTAGGGAACTGGATTTAAGCTTAATATAAAGGGAAAAAATAACTAAGAATAATAAAAAAGAAAGCAATAATAATAATAATTACCATTTATATGCTTCTTCAAGGTTTATCAAACACTTTGCAAAAATTATTTCATTTGGCCTTCAGGAACTCTGGACAACCCACCTAACAATTAGAGGTGTAGAGTCAAAAAGATCAGGGCCTTAGTTAGTGGTGGTTTTCCCTTCATTAGGAAGTATTGGAGAAAAGACTGGAGGATCCTCTACTTTGAGGATATATTATAGATGAGAATCTCCTTCCAATTTGATGGGAATCTATCCTTTGAGATTCTTTGCAGTTCTGTGATTCTGTGGTTCTGAGGCCCGATGAGATGAAAGGACTGGTCCAAGATCGAATGGATGGTAAATAGCACAAGGGGTAATTGAATTCAGGTCTCTAAATCACCTAATCCACCATCTTTTCTGCTCTATGAAGGCTACTTGTTGCAACAAATAGTTGTGAAATCAAAACATCGGTGCTAACATTTATAGTGATGGTTCTAAGACTCTTTGCCAGTTCCCTGCCCCCCAGAAGTGAGCATGCTGATGCATGAACTGTAACTTTCGGCCTTAAAAAAGCCCATGCCTCAGTACAAATAGGAGTAGATAGTGGGGCCATGCAAACTTTCACCTAACAGAGTGGTCTAGTTGTTGAAACAACAAAAGAATCCAGTCCAATCCTCAGGTCTCAGTCCAGCAAACAAGCTTGGATATGACATACTGGGAAACAGTGTGGATTAAGGCTGGTGGTAGGGAAGCTTGTAATCTGGAGCCAAAAATGTGCTTGCCTGGTGTTCTGCTACTTGGCACCCATTTTTAAACACTGCTGGATTGTCCTAGATCACCTGCTGTGGGCACTACTGTGGCAGCTGGGTTGGGTCAGTACATGGAGGGCTGTAGGAAGTCAGGAGAGGGAATCTCACCATGTACTCCCCTGGCTCCCATATGAATTATTAGTGGATGACCCAGATATCATAAATTATTAAGGACCTTGAATTCCAAATGAAGCCTGTATGTGAAATGTTTATTGAGTTCCTGCTGTGTATTCTAGGTACAGTAAAGTGTTTTAAGATCAAGGTTGCTTCTGAATTCCACTTAATTCCAAATTTCAGCAAAATAGTGCCTTCTGAAACACCTCATGAAGCCTGTAACATCAAGGAAACCTCCTAAGGAAATTCAATTCGATTCAATTCATTTCAAAATCCTTTAATTTCTACTATGCACAGGGAATTGTGCTATGCCCCAGAGCCACAATGTTGGCTTCTGAGAAAGGTACAGAGAGTTTTTATTGGTTAGGTATTATGTCCTGAAGAACACTCTGAATTGGAAGTCAGAGGATCTAGGTCTGTCACTTATTACCTATTTGAAATTCCATTGTTTTCCTGTGCATCAGTTTCTTCACCTGTGAAATGAGGAATTTGGACTACTTGGTTTCTGAGGCCTTTCCAGGTCTGGATGTATAATAAGTATTTCTAAGTCTTTTCCCAAAACTGGGCTTCAGATGAGAGGGTTCAAACATCTCTGGTCAATGGTTCCCTCCAGTTGAAGCATTCAAATCAAATATTTCCAGAGGTTGGAAATTATACCATCCAATTACATTCTATGGCATCTAAAAAAGCAAAAGAAAAACACTTGTGGCACTGCAAAATGCTCTTTGCCCTGACAGATGCTTAAGTCCATTTGTTGTAGTCTGGGCTGAGATTTGAGTGTCCATCAGTTATAAACACTGACCTTTTCTCTGGTAGATCTAAACACTTCCTGATCGAAATAGCACAGCTGGATAGTGTACACCATTCAGGAAGCTTGTTGGAGAAGGCACGGTTGTGAACAATGCAAGAATATCTCA